CTTTTTTGTGATCAACTAGATAAGAGGAAACAAGAAGTCTTAGAAAGGAGACATGTGGTGAAAATTGTAATAGATGTCTTGAAGCTTATAGGAAAGCAAGGATTGGCTTTTCGTGCATCAAAGGAAGCTGCTTACTCTCTTAAAGATGACACAATCAACCATGGCAACTTCTTAGAAATTATTATGTTAATGTCCAAGTATGATCCACAGTTAGAGAAACACTTGAAAAAGGCTATTGAAGAAAGTGATACGCGCATGTCTAAGAGGTCAACAAAAAAAACAGACGTGGAACACGAAAAAAAAGGCAAAAACAAAAGGGTGGGCAGAGGAAGTGCCGTGACATTTCTAAGTAACAACACGGTAGCAAAAATAATGATCTGTATGACAAAAGAAATCAAATCTGTCGTGGCAAATGAAATCAAATCGGCCGGCAAATACTCAGTTTTGATGGACACGACGATAGACATAAGTAGCAATGATCAATGTGCAATAGTTGCCAGGTATGTTAAAGGTCATGAAGTGTGCGAGAGACTACTGGCATTAAAAAGTGTGGTTTCTACTACAGGAGAGGCATTATTTGACACTCTCTCTGGTGTATTGACAGAACTTGAAATACCTTTGAGTGATTGCGTCGCAAATGCGTTTGATGGTGCGTCTAACATGAGCGGTCAGTATAATGGTTTGACTGCACAAATGGCCAGCAAAATCCCAAATCACATTCACACGTGGTGCTACGCGCACGTTTTGAATCTCGTAATATCTGATACAGCTCAATGCCTCACTGTAACAATCTCATTTTTCAGCATAATGCAAGAGACCCAGGTTTTTTTGAAGGATTCAATTAAAAGACTGGATATGTTTAGGAAGCAAAATCCTGAGTACAAGTTGGAAGCCATTGGGGCTACCAGATGGCGAAGCCGCAGCAATGCAGCAACGAAAATATTCGGCAGAATAGACATGTGGACCTCTTCTGAAGAACAGTCTTCAAACACAGCTAAACCTAACAAACACATTTATCTGGAGTTGGTATTGGCTCTGTTCAAAATTTCACATTCAGCTGATTTCAACGCCAAAGTGAGACATGAAGCAACTGCTTTACTTAAGAAGTATCTGGATTTTGAAACAGTACTTGTTGGCATGATATTCTTGCAATTGTTCAAAATCACTACGCCACTATCGGATTACCTCCAAACAAAGAATCTGGACTACGCCCAAGCGTGGAGGAATATTGAGTCTTCTCTTAGTAGGCTAAAACACCTAAGGGAGAAGTTTGATGAGACTTTGAATGCAGCACAACGCTTTGTTTTGAAAATGACGCAGAAACTCGAAGAAAGAGCAAAGGCCGATGAAACTCTTAATGAGATTGTTATTGGCAAAGCAATAACTGAGAAAAGAAAGAAGAAAGTAAAGAAAATGGCAGGAGAACTTGCTGAAGACGACAGTGTTGGAACTTCTCCGGAAGAAGAATTCAAAATAAAGATCTTCTTCGTAATTGTAGAGAGAGCTGTCCAAACTATGGAAAGCCGTTTTGTGCAGCACAAATCGCTATACTTGGATCTGGCATGTTTTGACCCAAAAACATTCAAATCCCAAGAATCTCTTCCACCTAAAGCATTGAAGAAAATAGGAGAATTAGTTTTGAACGTTGATGAAGAAAAGCTGAAAGAAGAACTTATCTCATTCGTAAATGTATGGCCCCAGATTTCAAATGCAAGTTTGAACGCCGACTATGAGAATGAAGATGTCTCAGACGAGAAAATCGATGCGCAAGAAGAAGAAGATGATGAAGACCACGAGGTCCAGTGCAAAGAGTCGGCATCATGCAATAGCTGTATCAAGTGTGCATATAAAGTTATATTAGAATATAACATGTACTGTTTACAATACCCAGAACTTTCAAAAGTGTATAAGTTTCTTCTAACTATCCCATTGACTCAAGTCTCTTGCGAACGAGCATTTTCAAAGTTGAAACTTATCAAAACCAGATTAAGATCGTCTTTGACAAATGACAATTTAGAATCATTACTGTTGATGCAATCAGAAGCTGATATTTTGAACTCCATAGATCCAGACAGCGTTATTGACTATCTTTGCAACTCCAGCTCCGAACTTAAAAGACTTCTTCAGGTTTAGATTCAGTTTGCAAATTGACTCAAAGAAGACCTACATTTGTGAATTATATATATTTTTTTATTTCCTTAAAAATTATGTAATAAGTGGTAACTTTTTTTTAAATGTATATATTGCATGTTATATGTGAAATGTTTACCGAAAATTACACTTATTACGTTTCAACTCCTACTTTCTCTTTTAATTATTTTATTTTAGCTTAAAAGCTTAAGCTTAAACATTTCTTCAAACGATATAAGTACGACAGTTATTTTCCCATTCCGCATTGCAAATATTTAAAATTACCGTTATTCTTGAGCAAACAATAAATGGCCATTTTGTTTGACAAATACTGGTACGATTGTGTAAGTGTGATCGTTCGCTCGTACGGTGACCAGATGCCAGAATAGCAAATTGAACCCAGCGTCATGAGCGATCAACACGCTAAAAAAACAGAGGTTAGGAATGGTGGAGGGGGGGGGTATGTATTTTCCAAAGGCTTTAGCAAACTTATTGGATGGCATTTTCAAAACTTTTTCGTATATTTCTTATCAAAATGTAAGAATGCCTTTTAGCTTTCGAATCCACCCAAGGTTGTAAAAATGCCGAAATAGTAATTTGCCACCCCTTTATGGATCTCATTTGGTTCGTCGTATTCTTACCATCTTTACAGTGAACTGTTAGATACTGAAGAACAACTTCATCACTATCATGTAATGAAATTGTATTTACGCCTCGGGACGAATGGGGAGGGGAGAGTGGGAACCAGGAAGGAGTTGGTAGTGGAAACGGGGATGTGACTTATTAGGTTTGTTCTGGTTCTATGAAATTCAGGTTCTAGGACGTCAGGATCATACGCAGTTTATATAGAGCGTTCTGGTTTATCAAGGATAATTTCGGACTGATGAATCCTCTGTTCTGGTTTCGACTGCGAAATGATCCTAAACTGTTTTGAACCGTCTCGAATCTTTCTTGCTTCCGAGGCTGAACTGTTGAGAACTGTTCCCGTTGCTCATGCGCATTCATGTGGAAATTTGTTTGGGCTATTTGCTGTGGCAATGGTTTTGAAATTTTCAAAGCTTATTTTCTGTGGCCTGTTTCACAATGGTGTTTGAAGAGGGATGAGGCTGGATCTGATTTATGAACGGGAAGTTCATATTCATAGACTATGTTGGACACTCTTTCTATCGGTCTGGACGATGTAAGTTCTGGAACAGATGGAACATGGCATTTCGTATATGCCATGTCACTCATTGGGTTTCGTGTCCTCGCGAGTTCTTCGAAAAGTGTAAATTTGATTTTCGGCTGTGAATACTGTTCTTCTCTGTATCTGTAGAGTAGGAAGGGTAAGTGTAGACCCACAGAACTTAGGCCACATGTGACCCATTGTACATTCTCCCGAGGAGTTGTCCTCTTAGGTCATCGTCCATCCTGCCCTTTCCAGGAAGGTGGACAGGTCACTAGGAGACTTCTCCTCTATATTGGCAGGTGTAGGCCAAGACTCGCCGTATGAACACTCTCTTTGGCAACCTTGTGGTGTCTCACAATGGCCTCCGTGAAGGTTTTGGAAGGTGCAGCGACATTACTGTTGTTGCGCGGCTTCTTCAATCTTCTTGGGGTTCCCTCCGTGGAGGTGCACAAGTGAGGGAGCTTTCTTGCAGGGGTAGCCGGTTTCTTGCCTTCATTCAAGGCGGAGCTCTTGGCGCCAGCTGCAGGAAGTGCCCTTGTTGTTGGAGGTGGAGTGGGGGAGGAGGACGGTGCACTCATAGTTGCTGGCCTTTCGCCTTGGCCTTTGTATTACATCACGAGGTGATCTGCTATGTCCAGCCTCATTCCAAGCGGTAAATTGAGGTGAACATTTCTGTTCATCCCCAGCCACCGCCTTAGATTGAGGTGATCACTTCTATCCAGCCCCGCATTACCAGAGGTAGGCTGATTACAATGAGGTTTCGCCCAGTTCCCCAAGGGGATCGTTCGTAACCGCATATCATCCTGCGGCCATTCAGCTGTCGGCACGATTCCTTACACCTTAACTTGAGTAGGCTGGTCCACGGTGGCATGTTTTGACCACCGTAGGGAGTTTCAGTTCCTCTCACCCTACTAATTTCTGCCACTGACCAGGAGTCCGGCGACCCCGTCCGTAAGGCCACATTGGCTTCCCGGATAGGGCCTCCAGTCCCCTGACCGTGCCCCTATCCGCCACCTGGGGACGCGCCCGATAGGTAGCCCAACCCACGGGAATACTGTTCTTATACCTTGCCTCTTCAGAATTTGGCTCACTTTGCCGATAACTCCACGAATGTAAGGAAATAAAGTTTTTGGGTGGTCCATCTGTTTATCGGGCTGTTTGATATGTGGGGTAAGGATTTGGTGAACCTGGAAGGATATTTGGACTTGAGATTCAGGACAGTCGTTTTAGCGGATTTGTGTTCGTCTATTGTAGTTGTCAGTGAGTCTGATAAACTTGTGTATATGGGAATTCAGAACAGAATTCAAATGGGCAGGATGATGATGGGACTTAGATTGACATAGCGGTTGTTATGGTTGGTTTTCGGTAAATAATGTGTGAGAAGCAATTTTGTGATGAGAACGTCCAGGAATGGAGGTTAGTTATTATTTTCGGCTCTCATTGTCAATTTCAAGTCGGAATGTAAGGAGTTGATGCGGTTTAGAAATCTATGGAGCTTTCATGAGGTCATATAAAAAACATTATCTGCATATCGATGCCGGCAAGTAGGTTTGAGATCAGACGTGTTAATATCAGTTCAAATTTGGCGCTATATTCCTCCAATGACATCATGAATGTACTGATTTTGTAATTTGTATGATTACCGTATGGAAGTAAACACTCTGTACTGTGATATGATTGTCTGTATCACAGAACAAAAACAAATTTGTTTCTGTTCCGTAGTCTGTATTTTATATTTCATGATAGGTATTTTTATGGTGTAAGGGGTGCCTCCCATTTTTGTGCAAATAATTTCTACTGATCTTGTGAGTTGTTTATTTTTCTTTTAGTGTCAATTTATGTTTCATTTTGTACTATTGTGAGTATTATCTCAGAAATGGAGAAATCTCGTGATTTTTTTTCATATATTTCCAGTAAAATAATCTTGTATCACCTGTAGTATCCTGATGCTAAACACGAATTATAATATTAGTGATATTATTATCCCTACCGTAACTCTGTTATATCTATTTTTTCATCCATTACAATTGCCTTAAGCAAAATTTACTTAGGTTCTACTGATCTTTTTTTTTAATATACTGAATATTGTGAATTCAGTTAGAACCTGTAGCCAGTGTGTAATTTGACTTGTATATTAACAATTTTCAAATTGTATTTTTTTCAAGAGGTTTGAGTGCAAAGACAAACGCTTTAATCTATTGTTAAAGGAAATTAAAGTAGCAATTGATTCTAAATATAGATTGAAAATTTATAGGATAAGATGGTTAGTGGTTGTGGTTTGGATCATTATGTATTTTTTCTCAATCTTTAAAATATCTACTACCTACATAATTCCAATTTTAATTTCTGGTATATATGTTTTAATATTTTTGGAAGATGGTAGATGTTTTTTGTACAGAATTTTTTACTGTATTTTTGATAATTGATTTTTACAGTAACATGATTTACCGAATGTATCAATCCACCTATTAATAATTGGCGTGAAGTTATCCACAGATTTCTGGCCACACATGCCAACGTAGAGGAAAATAAAAATCTGTGGTTGGGATACAAAATTATTAGCACTCGTACTAATATCTGTGGCTGGAAATACTTATTCACTATAGGTTGAACGTGGAATTATTGAGACTATTTGGTGTTTAACATTTTTATAGAGTCTTGAGTAGATTGAGGCGTTGATAATCATTTTCTCATCAACAATACAGATTAAGGGAAAAATCAAATTGAAAATATTAGACTTACTTTCCAATACTCCATATAGAAATGATATCCGATGATGTGCGTCCATCAAAATCACACAACTTCCATAGTTTCTTGAGAAGATTAACTTGGTGATTTCATGAAAATCACATAACTGTTATAAAATCTTGGGTAGATCGATATAGTGAAAACCGTTTCCTTGTCACTCACACAGATTTCCAGGAAAAAATATTGAAACAATCAGACTCACTTTTCAAAACACCTTGTAGAATTGGAACTAGAAGATGTGCGTTTATGAGAATCACACAACTGTTATAGAATCTTAGTTAGATCGATACGGTGTAAACCGTTTTCTTGTCACCCATACAGATTTCCGGGAAAAAATATTGAAACAATCAGACTCACTTTTTAAAACACCTTGTAGAATTGGAACTAGAAGATGTGCGTTCATGAAAATTGCATAACTATTATGAAATCTTGGGTAGATCTATATAGTGAAAACCGTTTCCTTGTCACCCTTACAGATGTCCAGGAAAAAATATTGAATTAATCAGACTCACTTTTTAAAACACCTTGTAGAATTGGAACTAGAAGATGTGCGTTCATGAGAATCACACAACTGTTATAGAATCTTAGGTAGATCTATATATCGAAAACTGTTTTCATGTCACCGATACAGATTTCGAGAAAAAAATTGTTGCAACAATCAGACTCATTTTTTGAGATTCCTTGTAGAATTGGAACCAGAAGATGTGCGTTCACAAAAATTACGAAACTGTTATAGAATCTCAGGTAGATCGATATAGTGAAAACTGTTTTCTTGTCACCCATACAGATTTCGATAAAAAAAGTGTTGCAACAAATAGACTCATTTTTTGAGATTCCTTGTAGAATTGGAACCAGAAGATGTGCGTTCCTGAAAACTACATAACTGTTATAGAATCTTAGTTAGATTGATAAAGTGTAAACCATACAGATTTCCTAAATCTGTATTGTTGATGAGAAAATGATTATCAACGCCTCAATCTACTCAAGACTCTATAAAAATGTTAAACACCAAATAGTCTTAATAATTTCACGTTCAACCTATAGTGAATAGGTATTTTCAGCCACAGATATTAGTACGGGTGCTAATAATTTTGTATCCCAATTACAGATTTTTATTTTCCTCTACGTCGGCATGTGTGGCCAGATATCTGTGGATAACTTCACGCCAATCTATTAATATGTTTCTCACATACATAATCAAGTGCTGCATAGTCTACAATCATGCTATGGAAAAGCTACCAACAAACCAAAGCTAATCCAATCAAAAACTAATCCCAATTGGTTTGAGTTTTTGAGGTTTGAGAATTATAAACTCATTCAGTAGTGGTACTTCCAATTATTAACATACTAGTACAAGTAATTTAGTCAGAAATAATGTTTTAGTCATGGACCAGATCTCACAACATACAGATTTATCTAGAGTCATTTCCAGTATCAACTGTTTTTATTATTGGATGATGGAGATTCAAAACTGCTCTTGTTATGAAGTATGAGAGTGAAATCACATGTCTCATGAATTGGGGAAACGTGCAACTTGTTGAATAAGGACAATACAAAAGAAGTCCAGCCATCTCCTCTCAAGCTACTCACCTACTCTGTTTCTTAATTTCTCTACTAAAATATGTTTTTAAAAGTATCTGTGAACCCTAATGGAATATATACTCTTTCAGAAGAATAAGTTTAAATATTAATTGACAAATCATAATTTCTAGAGAAATGTAAACTAATAGGATAGGGTTCTCTGTTATCCCTCTCAGGTGGTTAGTGTAGATACAATTTATGCATTTAGTTAAACTCTTAACTCGCAAATTCTGTCAATTTTTTTTTTAAATCCATTTTTTCATTTTCAAACATGAACCTGTGTTGATTGAATAGAACAGTAAATCCATACTTTGCTAGCAGTTTATCATTAATTTTATCATGTTTTTTATTTGAGAGAAAACTGAGAAAACATACCTTCTTAAGGTATCTTCATTATTCATAATATCCCATCTATTATGTAAAAGAATATAAGAAGAGTCAGTTGAACTGTACTACTGTAACTCTTGTATGGAAACTCTACCGTGAAACCTCCTTTGCTATGGCTGTGCCATACTTGAACATAGTAAGAGTTCATTGTACTTGAAAGTGGATATTTCAACTTAAAAATCAAAATTTTTAAAATGTGTCTACAGTTTGCATTTTAAGAGTGTTACATAAACGAACAATTAAATTTTTTAATTTACATCAAATATATAAAAATTATGTAAGTGTATATAGATATACATATATATGCTGTTTTTTATGAGATAAGACATGAAGCTCTGTTACGATTTTCATTTTTCATAATGGACTTTCAGTAGGAAAGTAGCTTGGCTGAATACGTTGTTGGACAACATGTATGTATGATCTCATGACATATTTTATTCTTACTTGTATCTAGAATGACATTTTTTCATTTTTTAAGAGAATACTCAATCTTCCCCTCGGTTGAAATTTTAAACTTTGCTTTTTTCTGTAGTCATTCATTTTTATTTTATTTTTTTCAATAGTGATTCCCTTCATTATAAAGTTATATGTGAAAATATAATTTTGTCACATTGTTTGTTTTTTGTGTCAGTAAATAATGTGATTACATGTTGATTTTTGTTTTATTTGAAAATATTACGTTTTTAATAAACTTTATTAAACTTCATTATTCTTTTATTTGAGATTAGATATCTGGAAGTGGGGAGTTATTGAGCTCATTACACATAATACTATTACGTTGTTTCCCGTAGGTTTGCCAATAATTGACTACGTTTTACAATAATCAAACATAACTCTACGTCACTGTTGATACAACCGAACATTTTAACTAAAACTTCAAACTAATATTCAAATGTCTATCGCCTTATTTGAATTTACTTTGCACTGTTACTTAACTTGTCAATCAGGGTGTGGGTAGCGTTTTTTATGGTATTCGAACTTTCTCGAATGCAATAGGGAACTCGCTAGAAATGTGTCGAAGCGACGCGGCATCTAACAACAATCGCGAAGCACACATCGAGTTGAGCGCGATCTTGGCCTTGTCACAATTGATTTGCGGCGGCCGGCGTTATTTTTTCAAGTCATGAATTTAGGGTATATGGTTTGAAATTTTGTCAGACTATATTTAGTTCTGAAAATGAAATGCCACAACTCTAAATATAGAAATATTTTCAGAGATATCTGTTCATTAGTGTACTCAAAAAGGGATAGAATAAACACTTAATGTAATAAATTACATCAATTCATTACATTACACAATTAATTTGATATAAAATTGTCCACTTCATTTTCACCCCCTCAGATCTGAAAAAATCTGACATTGTTGAATTGGTCATCATGAATATCTGAATCTAGCAGGTGTACACATTAATCTACAATGGTTCATTTTTTTTTGTTTCAACCCCATTTCCACAATTTCGGTCGACCTGGAAGACTCCCCCTTGGTGGAAATGGGGTGAATACTTTGACGTGAAGTTTTTTCTGTCGCATCCGTCATCAGGAATAACATATCTCAGTCTGACAAACTGGTTGAGGCTTTCGCGGCCGAGGTTTTCAGTGTAACTATTTTCCGGGTTGAAGGCCGTGGATTTTTAGATTTTTTCCCTGACGTTTCACTGGCGCGAGTGGCTAGCTAGGAGTTAATACCTCCGATGACTGGATATTACGGCTGCGTAACACGTATTTATGTTGCCTCCTCAGGTAGTTTGGTGTGCTAATACCTGTAAATAACGTAAAGCGTGTTTATGTTAATTCAGGTATTCTGGTGTAATAATACCTGCAACTGGATTTGGTAAACACGTATTTATGTTGCCTCCTCAGGTAGTTTGGTGTGCTAATACCTGTAAATAACGTAAAGCGTGTTTATGTTAATTCAGGTATTCTGGTGTAATAATACCTGCAACTGGATTTGGTAAATTTTCAGTAACGTTCATTGGCCCTTTTCTACCTGCCGTAGGATTCTTGAACTTCTTATGGGATTCCATATTGACGTTCACAGTTTTTCCTTTCTGATGAAATTATCCGTTTGTTTGTGGATTTCTATTGCCTCCCGTACCAGTCGGCTATGGTTCAGGTATTAGCACACCAAAGTACCTGAGGAGTCAACATAAATAATATCCAGTCATCTGAAATATCAATTCAGGATGTACAAATCTTTGAGGGAGCTAGCTCCCTCAACGAGTGGCAATTTTCGATGATGAGATTTTTTTAGGTTATCATCCGATTTCCACCCACACAGACGGCCTGAAAAGCTCTGAAGTTAAGTTTTTTCTGTCAAATCCGTCATCAGGAATAACATATTTCAATCTTGTAGGTGTACACATTCAATTTTCGATGATACGATTTTTTTAAGTTTTCATCTCATTTCCACCCACTCAGACGACCTGGATAACATTGTCGTGAAGTTTTATTGTTGAATACGTCATCAGGAATAATATATCTCAATCTTGTAGGTGTACACATGCAATTTTCGATGATATGATTTGTTAAAAGTATCCACCTCATTTCCACCCACTCAGACGGCCTGGTAAACTATGACGTGAGTTTTTTTTTTGTCGAATCGGTCATCAGAAATAACATATATCTCAGTTTGGTAGGTGTACAAAGTAGATTTTTCATGTTAGGTATTTTAAAAATATTTCCACCCTATTTTCACCCCACCATACGGCCTTAAAGCTAGGATGGTTCTTTTTTCACTATGTCCGTCAATATATGTATCATATCGAAAAATCGTAGATATACAAAGTCGTTAAATGAAAAAATAATAATTCAATATTTTTTCTCAGTGTGCTTTGTAGATGTGGATTACTTCACACTCGTAGGAAAAACTCTTTTGGGCTTTCTACTTCCAGAGTATTTTTATTTTCTATTTAGCTCTGGAGAAGAAAAAAGCCAAAAAGGGTTTTTCTGAAATAATTATTACTCCACAAAAGTCTATGTGAATTCATCATAATTTCAATGCTCAACTGATTAATGTGTAATAGTGGATAACAAAAAAAATCTCTAGTAAAAAACTATTTTAATTTCAGTGAATCCATCTAACAGAATGTCAGAAGTAGGAGATGCTGCAACTCCTGAAGAGTTCGTTGATAATGATAATGAAACTAACTATAAGCCTCCTCCGGAAAAAACTATAGAGGAAATATTACAAATTGATCAAGAAGATGAAAGTTTGAGAAAATATAAAGAAGCTCTTCTAGGGCAGGCACAAACTGGGCCAATCATAGTAGGTAAGCTATTGTGATGTGTAGGTAGTAGTTTTTTGAGTATTTCTAAATTAAAAAAAAACTAATCAATACAGTTTATTGTATGATTTTCATTATAAAAGGGTTTTACAAAAACCACGACACATGTTTCACTATACAATAGCTTCCTCAAGCATAAACTCTAAATAATATAGATTCTGATTAATAAGTAAAAAATCTGAAAAGCTGTATTTGATCTACAGAAGCGCAAAAAAGCCACATATTTTTATTCATTTCTTGATAATTACGATTTGAAAACTTGAAGTTTTGACTTACTTTTTGAAAATTTGAGTTTAAAGTTCTAATTTCGAGTTTAAAGTCTAAATTTCGAAATTTTGATTGTAAAGTTGCAATTTTGAAATTACGAGAAATTTCGAGATCGAAGTCAAGATTTTGAGATCAAAGTTGAAATTTTGAGATTCGAAGTCGTAATTTCCAGGAAACAAATTATAAAAATATGTGGCCGTTGCGATCTAATTTCTGTTGTTTATGCAGTTTCAATCAAAGAATTTAAACTTCTATGTGTAGAGATAACTATGTCAGTGCTATTTTCTGGGTTTTTTAGCTGTGGTCTGCAGATTTTCATGCCCTATATTTTCTTTGCAACTACAGTAGACGTTATCAACATGGCGAAACAAAAGTAGCAGTTCAAATAGGTTGGAGAATAATCTTTATTCCTTCCTTCATAGTAAAAAACCTGTTCACAGGTGTAAAACATGTCAATACAATTACAACGACATACATAAATACAGTCGCATTCCATAAACAGTCAAAAATGTTAAAAAAATATACACCATGGATACAAATGGCAAGATAAGATTCATTAGTCGAGTGAACATAACCTTTCTCAAGTCGAAAATTGAGAAAAATATAAACAATCGAGCTGAAATTAATGCAGAGTAGTTAGATTAAAAATTATGCACATCTTCAAAAAATTCGTCAATGCTGTAGGCCTTGGATATCAGAAATTATTTTGATTTTGTTTTGACTTTTTTGACTGGTGTTGCTCGGAAATAGTAGTGTATTGTGTACATTTATGATAATATAATAAAAAAAAACATTCACCCTTAGTCAAAGAATGTAAAAAGCATTTGAGTCAAATAGTAGGTCACATAAAAGTAAAACCTCTTGGAATATTCTGAATACACTCAGAAATAAATATATAGAATAGAATTTGCCATTGAAAGATTCACAATGGTAATATAAGACACATTCTGGATAAACACAACATTAAATCAATATTCAAGCCCACAAAAACTAACAAAGAGATACATACAAGATAGCCGACAATGGTAAGTTCGTTAAACAGTTTGAGAAAAAAAAACTGGTTTTACTGCAAAAACAGTGTTAATATTGGTGTAACATGTAATATTTGTAAAGTGTGGTTTCATCATTTCTGTGCCATCAGAATTACTGGCCTATAAATCCTGAATGGAATCAAAGGAATACTACAATGCTTGTGCCTTCAAAGGGAGGTTAAACGAACACAAAAAAGTGGTATTACAATTGAAAATTCCTCAAATATTGGATCAGACAAGGTAAATTCTAATATTTACTTCCATGAAGTAATTGAAAGTAAGGATGACATTATATTGAAGCTTCTAGAACTTGAAATTTTGCAAAGTTTAACACTTAATTTATTAGGAGATAAGATCAGATGGTTACAAAAATAACTCTAATCTCAATTAGTATTTATGCACAGGTGAAAACACTTGAGATCAATTTTGAAAAATCAAAATGCTATAATGAAAATACTTATGATGTACTGTTTGGAACCTTTGGTGTAGTAATGAATATTACTGGAGTTTTTTCCCAACACCAAATCGTTATTTTTAACACCTCGACACGTGTTTCGATCACCAAGTGATCATCTTCAAAGAGGAAGATTAAAACTAGAAACTAGTGCGAGCTAATCCTACTTGTTCCATTTGAAAAATCAAAGTTGCTACTGCTTTCTAATAGAAGCGGCAACACCGCATTGTCGAAAATATTTTAGTTGGCTAGAGAATATCCGAATATGCCCTCCATTAAATTTTCAAAGTGATCCGTTGTCTGGTTCACCAGAAACGTCTAATGTGCCATCCACCGTGAATCAGCCTGTATAGTATGCTCTTTGGTATAGGTCCGTCATCGTTATTCATAATATTATTGTGTTTACTTATTTCTACACTCTCATGGGCATCTAGTTGCAAGTGTACTACTATTCTACTAGTCGAGCCCTGTCATTTGATACCCACATTGAGGTAGTTGTGAAACAATATGTAATCCGTCATATAGCTACGTCCTCTTGTATTTACAATGATACAGAATTTATTAAATTGTATTGTCATCAAAATTTGTGTACCAAATATCAAATCAATCTGTAAACAGGAATGGGGTCAAACTTCAATTACTAAATTTGAACCAAACAAGCAAACAAACAATCAGGGCAAGGCTAAATAAAACCGTTTAATTAATAATACCCAACAATGTAATCTAGAACCAATACACACCTTTTTTTCTCATGAAATATTCATAACAATTTACTTTCTTGAAAATGTATCCAAACGTAAGAGATTTCATTAATAGTTTCTAAAAATTCCAATAGGAAAGATTTAAAATATTAATGTGAAGTTAATAAAATGTATTAAAAACTTTATCATTCATCCACTCACTAACTTATTCAATAAATGCATTGAATTGAGCATCTAGTCAGACCCTTTCAAAATATCAAAAGTAATCCCATTCCACAAAATTGGATGATTGAAGAAACTGTAGACCTATTGCTATCATTCCAATGAGCGGTTTTCCTGAGAATAGTACAGCGAACGTGTCACGAGAGGCAGCACTAGTATTAGAGACAAACATAAACTATTCACATGTAAAACAGTGTTATTTACGTAATATTAATTTTTCGAAACACGTGTCGAGGTGTAAAAATAACGATTTGGTGTTGGGAAAAAACTCCAGTAATATTTAAAAACATTCTTTTTTAATATACTTTACCATATGTTTTTATGAGGATTAGGCAGTGTTTGTCCCTACCGAACTACTAGTGAGTGATTTTTCGTACTTCAGGAAAAAGGTTCATTATCTCAAAAATATTTTAAAAAATTTTGTCAAGAAGTATATGGAGTCTTACGATATTTTCGAATGTTCCCAATATGGTTTCACACAGGTGAAAATACAAAAATGACAGTACTTGACCTGGTGAACACTGTTGTGTCCAAATTCAAAATCGGGGACTTTGCGGGAATTACTTTCTGCGATCTCAGCAAAACATTGGATGGTTCCTTATGACATTCTTTATAACAAGCTTGACCACTATGGCTTTTTAAAAAACACAAAACGCATTAGAGAGCCTCACAATGGATTACTGTGAATCAACTATATTTCAATGAGACAAAGAACTGCATATTTACTGAACGTCAGCTAATTGATGATTAGCAGGCTATAAAATTTGTAGGTTTATTTTTAGTTAAAAAATTACTATTGGATAAACATATTCAATACTTGTCAAAGGAAATATCAGAACATCTTCTTGTTAGAAATTTACAGCCTGTTGCAAATCATGAAACCATTCACCATACTGTTCCAAACTATTTGGCCTTCAAATTAATGCTGTTAGAACAATAAATGACATCAGTTTTTGAGCAAGGTCTACTTTAAGGTAAACAAAATCCCTCTTTCTTTATTTTTCAATATCCATGATAGGCAACACGCATTTAAAATGCACAGTGACATACACCATTAATACAAAAGAAATACAGCTCCTGAATTTGTACCATTAATGAAGAGCCAATATTCTGTAAATTTTTACGCACTCAGGTTATATAATAAGCTTTCTTTGCATCCGAAGAAGTTATCCAATAATAAATTCAAAACTAAAATTAAACATACGGTCAAGTTATTACTAAATTGATGGCATTTCTAATGCTGATCTGGGTTGTTACCGAACGGAATTTTATTATCTTCAGTCAAATAAGTAAAGTGTACTTTTGTCTTATTTGATTTATTTTAATTGTAAGTTTTATATTGCTTTAAATGTTTTTTACTATTTAACCACATTCTTGACGCATATAAAACATTTATGATTAGAAGTACAAATGAATATCTATCTATAAATAAAGTCTGGCTACCAGCACAAAATTGAACACGAATTATGCCATAGTCAATCATTAGGAAGGCACGCCCACCACTGATGGAATAAAACTGGAGACCCAGACATTGAAAGAAGTAGTTTGTGATGTGAGCTGTATTCGTTGTCTTATCACCTTTGATAATGTCTACCGAAGGTGTAGACAAAGGTCAGGCATAACCCCAGGCCACGGCCAATAAACCAGGAAAATAGTTTGACGCAATGATCTCCGGCTGTGTAAGTTTTCGATCTGATGCGAGAGAAAGATTGGGTTTGTCAAAAAAATATTTTGAAAGATTAATATCAAAAGTGTCTCATAGAGGAAACCGTGCACACTTTTTAACTGAAGCTGAGCACATAATCAATTCCAAGCTCCTCACTAGGGTGTCAAGCGAACTAGCTAATCTTGAAGCAGTTACGTTATTTCCTTTTGGGATCGTCAAGTGAAGAGTTGATTCATGTATATTTCTGAGCCTAGACAATTGTCTATAAAGAGAATGTAAAAAATGCAGATGCCTTTTGATAACTTTTTAGGGCATTTGGGTCAAGTAATATTTGCTCACATTATCAAAACAGAGTAAATAGGAGAAAACCCTGAAATCTATTCAAATGTAAGTTGTTATTATATTAGTTACATACGCATGGAAGTTGAGATGTGTAATTACAATTTACCCAGGTTCTGGTAGAAAAGTTCGTGTTGTAAATGTCAAAACTATCAATGCCAAGAAATAGAATGACGATAATATGTCTATTATATATGTTATGAAAAAAGAAGTGATTGATCATCAAAGTTATTTTAGAATAGTCGTGAAAAATTTGAGGCACCGGCAACTTCTGAAAGCAAAATACCTAGGGTCTCAATAATGGCTTTCAAAAAAAAATTGAGTTAATTTCAATGTCCAACCCAGAATGTTCAGTGAATTGCTGGAAAATTTGTTTTTGAGGTGATAAAACGGTGGTTTTGGAGTAGCATCAATTGACAGGGAAATCTTTAAAATCTGTTGTAAATTTGTTCTAGCAGATTGACAAGATTCAAAATAATGTTGTTGTGCCTATTGTTTGCCCTAGTTTTTTCATATATTTATTGTAGCAATGCTGCCAGTGGATTGAATGTAGGAAAGCAAGGTTCTTGCCTTTGTATGGGCATGTTGTGGGCGTAACAAAACTGTTATCATTTATCCGAGGGTTGATCCTGCACTAGTAGAAACTTTGAAAAGTCAATATAATATGTTTCATTTTATCGAGTTTATTGCCCTGGAGTTTATTTCTCTTATGACTTGCCTAATATGTATATAATCATTATAAATTATATGCGTTTTAAATGACACTATGTACAGACTCAATATTTATAATGTATAAAATTGTCATCTCATTTTGTGTTACATTTGGGGGATTCACATTTCTAATATTTTTTAGAACCAGATAACCCAAAGAAAGTAATCGTTAAAAGGCTAGTATTAGTTGCTGCTGATAGACCTGAAATTGCTCTCGACCTTACAGGAGATCTTTCACAACTCAAAAAGAAAACTTTCATCATCAAAGAAGGAGTTTCGTACAAAATAAGAATCGAATTTATTGTACAAAGAGAAATCGTTCATGGATTGAAATATGTTCAAAAAACAAGTAAAATGAGTCTCCCAGGTCGGTAAAAAATCAATTTTACCTAGTCAATACTTTGTAACTCACTGAAAACTGTTAAAATTGATATTTCAGTTGACAAAATGACGCACATGGTTGGTTCATATGCTCCTAAACATGAAATTCAATCATACACTACTCCGTCAGAAGATGCTCCGTCAGGTATAATGGCTAGAGGGGGATATACAGTTCATTCTTTGTTCACAGATGATGATAAAAATGAACACCTCAAATGGGAGTGGACATTTGAAATAAAAAAAGATTGGAAAGACTAAGGTGAGATCGTATTTTAATTAAGAATTATTTATTTTGCCTACACTTACTGAAATATAACATTCTATACCTGTAGATAAAAAAATTAGAAAGGCTGTGAAATATTTATCTTTGGACAAAACATTTACATACATTTAAAGGATTTTATAAAAAAATGATTTTAGCTTTTACCCTATTTTAGGGTAAGTTGATTGCATTTCATTCTTAATTGGTAGTTATTCGTATCAATCCTATGGCTTCAAAACTAAACTTTGTTTTTTTCTGTTGAAACGTCTTGACTTGCTTCTGAGATAGGTTTCATGTTTATATAAAATAATGATCATGTCTCACATGATACAGGAGTATACTTCACACACAAACTCTTTGACTTAAGTCACAAAACGTGAAGAGTGTATATTGAACACTCGTCTCGAGAACATGCTTTGTAGAAACAAAAGGCATACAAACGGATAGAAAACCGAACGTTGAATGGGAGCTGGAGAATACTGTTCGGGAAGGAATTTACATAATAGCTATCTGCTTGGTCATTGAACATTCATCTTCCAGGCTGAAATGAATGTAATCTTGCAAAGCAAGGATGTTAATTCATGACCTCAAAATGGGCGGATTGATAGCCTTAGTAATATTCAGACTGTACTGAGATATTTTTGAACCCAAAAGTGATATCGATACTGGTGTGGGAATGCTGTGAAGAACTGAAGAAACTGGCAGGCTGGAATAAATTGACAATGCCAGTATAGAACACTCAGGAGTCACAGGTAGTGAAAAAGGTGGCTTAAAGGATGAAAACCCTCTAAGCACATGAGTCTACAATGTTTTTTCGAAACTTGAAAGAGATGGACACATCAGACAATCCCTAGCAGAAAAAAAATATAGGGAGTGACAAAATAAATCAGTCGGAAATATCTTCTAATGCAGGTCTGTACATCAAAAGCATAACCGTGATCTTTTTCTGTTTGATGTTATTCTTGTGGGACCTCAGAATAGTTGTTAATGAGGGATTGCAGGTAAAACGAATTTCACTACTTTGTATGGAGTCGTGTAGCTTCAAGGTATTGTCATGCCATGGTCATTGATTATGCTATTGGCAAAGAAAAAAATGTGACATCACGCCGCACAAATCTCCAAATTGCTTTTGAGATGTTCAAAGCCAAAATGACAGTATTCTTTGTAAAAGAACGAGATGGTACCAATGAGGTCACTATCAGTTCTGATTTTGGCATCATTGTCTGTTTCTTCTGTTTTCCAAAACGATGAATAACATTCAGACATTTGATTTGAGTTTTTTCAAATTCAACTATACTGTCAATACTAAAAATAAGAACATACTAAAAATGTGTAACATAGAAACAACAAATAAGATTGTTTTTCAAATGTATACTAACATTTTATTAAAAATGTTTTCAAAATGGAATTTTCTATTAACTAACTGCCATTCCTCTATAAACGGCAACCCTCTGAGGTATTCTACAGATATGGGCAAACGAAAATTCAACGAAGTCTTACCTTCATATATATTACCCATTTGAAAGTGGGGCACCTCTCCCTACAGTTTGCATCTTTTCTCCAATGTCAAACAACTCTATTTTAAATTGTAGAGCTCAAAAAACTGTATAGGTTGAAATACAAGAAATGGCATTAGCAATTTTTTTAGGAAAAATTTAAAATCACCACTGGACTGGGCACCCTCTCAAATGGTGGTAAACCAAAAATATTCAATATTAATGATTCTGTGGTCAAATCAACATTTATATTGTATCATGATAGAATATTAACTGCACACCTCTTGAATGGTTTTTAAATCTAGGTGATTTGGTCGTGAAACACCGTGCAGATATGCAAAATCACGCTCTTTCCATTTGGCACTGGAAACAAAAGACTATTGTTGATTATTATTGCTATTGTCAAAAACTGTATTGAAACAGTAACGTCAGATTATGCCCGATTAGTAAGAAAAATATTTTGTAAAGCAGTAGGAAAATGAAATTGAACTTGTGCTTGTCGGAGATAATGGTCTTTCGGCAAGAGAAGCTGTCAGAGAATTTCATAACATACATCCTGAAAAATTTTCAGTGAGCAGCAATGTGGTGAACCGCATAAATTACGTTTTTAACGAAACAGGTTGTTTATCAAAGCATATGCTCAAAAACAAATAATCCACATTGTGAGAATAGAAATGGTGTACGAATATTGCAATATTTTCGTAATATCCCTCATTCAAGCTTGTGAACGGCTAGTTTGAACTTAAATATCCCTAGAGAAAATATCAGGAGATGCCTCGTAAAAAATTAATTCAAACCATTCAAAACAAAAGTTTTACACACTCTGGAACCAAGAGATGAAAAAAGAAAGTTAGAATTCTGTTTGTGGCCTCAAGGAGAATTTTTGACTGATTGATAAACTTCTTAAAAATGATTTTGTTTAGTGATGAAGCTACATTCTCTACAAATAGAGTAGTATTGTCCCAAAATTCAAGGTACTGGTCTGCGGATAATCCTAATTGTTATAAATGTGATGAGGCAATATTCCCATAAAATGAATGTGGTGTGGAATAGTCCCATGATAAGGTTATCGGTCCGTTTTTCTTCTAACGTAATCTGAATGGAATTATATGTTTGAAGTTTTTGAGAAATTAGTTTGGGTCTCCTGTACATAATGTAGTTATTGTAAGAGAATGGCCGATTAATAATTATGAAAATCAATGGATAGGTCAAAATAGTCCTTACATTGAGTTGCCGCCAAGATCACCGGACCTGACACCGCTAGAATTAGTCTTTGGCTAACTGTGAAGCAGATGTCCAGACCGTAGTCAGTAGAAGAACTACGCATCAGAATATTTGCAGCTTATGCAGAAATTACAACAGAACAACTGAGAAAAGTTATATTGAATATTAGAAGGTATGACACTTACATTGCAATGAATTTCGGATTGGTTGAAACAACAAAAATTTGATGAACGTTCATTCCTGTTTGTGTCTAAAATAATTTGGTGAATATTATTTTCTAGTTGTTTAAATTGTTCAAAATGAATATGTTTATTCGTTTGTTCAATTTGCCACATAGTAATCAACGATTACTCGATGTTCATTTTACTTCTCAGTCCATCAGATACTTGAATTAATTCATAATAAAAATGTCTTTGATTCTAACACAGAATTGATAATATTTAATACTTTTTTATGAAATTTGGTATATCACCATTTGTGATGGTACCCAGTCCAATGGTGATTTAACTTTTTTTTTTAATCACTAATACGATTTCTTGTATTTTATCATATAAAAATATTCATAGCTGGCCTTGTTTTTTGTAGAAAGAAAATGATTTTTGGTCCCAAAGCACAGTTTTTTTAGCTCTACAATTCGAAATTTTTTTTTTTCAAAATCGGAGAAAAAATGCAAATTTTAGGTGTCTCTCTTTCAAGTGGTTCACACTGTATGTGACTCACTAATACAAATTCCACAAATATTAATTGTATGTGTACTGAAACCGTGGAATACAGCAAATCATCTAAATTCTTGAGAATAATCATTGATAAAATTCCAACTTGACAGGCACTCATTGACAGTTTGTGCAATCAGAAATCCGAAACACAGTGTCACTAAAGAAATTCTAAAGTTCATGTGTCATGGATTGATAAAGTCAAGGCTACAGTATGGATTGATATTCTTGGTAACTCGGCAAACACCAATTGTTTATTCAAACTTCAAAAACATGATCGTATGGAATATACTTTTCTCTTGACGTTATAGTCAATAACACTTCACAGTGTTGTCAGAGCTAAGGAGTTGCAATCTTTTTTGAGTCATGGCATACCCTTATTTCGGAATGACCTCGGGGTTTTTGACAATTACTCTTCATAAAATATAAATCCCCAGATTCAAAATTATAGAAGTTTTTCGTGCATTTCGTGCTGTTACTATACCGACACTATCTTAGAAAAACCATTTTACATTCATATATGAATGCAGAATCATATGTAAATATGCAATATATGCACACAGAAAAAATGGCAATGTTATTGTAATGTTGTATTTCAAATTTTTTTATTTCTATTTTGATTAGTGTGATAAGGTTTTTATGTACAAAAACTGCATTTAATTTGTGTAAAAGTATTAAGTGATGAATAAACTCACTTACCAGCACAGGTCACAACTCACACAAAATACTTGCTTGGAAAGGCAGGTTTTTTACATTTTTCATTCATAATTGGCAATGAGACATATTTTTTCAATATTGAAGTAATACAAAATCTTTTCAGAAATTCTTATTATGATTATTTGCAGGGTGGATGTGAAGCAGCCGTCGGTATTATCCATAAATTTGAAGTATTACCCCGCCTCAACTTATATACTACCTTTTTGAAATCAATTTACAAGTTTTTGGAATTTTTTACTGATGACCGATATCGGTGTTGCCTTAAATTATAGTTTACATAAGCCAATTTTGAAGTGTTTGTGTAGCAAATTTCCTAATCAAGTTTCCCTTTTCGAATTCAATGGATAATGCCGACCTACAGTGTTATATTTTCTTCTAAACTCAGTGAAATCGTAACCATAGTGAAATGGAATATGGAAAACTTGATAGGAAACTCGCCTTAAGGATTTGCTTTGTTTCCAGATGCTTTAAGAGTTCCCAAGAAACTAGCAACATTTGGATGTTTCATATTTTAAAATGGTACATAATTCACCTGATAACGTTTCTCAGGGTGCATCAGAAAGTAATGAAGCCTGCTTTATAAACATTGTATCATGGAATGTTGTTAGTTTTGAGAACACCGTTCTTTGTTCCTTCAGTCAAGTACTATTAGAATGTACAATTTTGTGCATACTATAAAATTTTTAAGTTGAGCATTTATTTAGTTTGCATTTAAGTGCTCTAACCATGTACATTTTTATTTGTAAGGTAAAATATTTTTTGTCTGGTGAATAAAGGTGTTATTTCCTGATATAACTTTTTATTAACATCTCCGCCAGTATTGAGAATATAGTAATATGTACCTAGAGCTAAACATTGTTTCACTAGAATCTATTCAATTTTTATCAATATTATTCTTTAAAAACTTGGCCAGAAATTACCAATATATTAAAAACTTTAGCACGTTGAACAGCTAAATTTTACATTCAAGTAATACTTCATTGTGAGATTTTTACTGAACAGTTTACAAAAGGGCAACACGTGATTTACTATAGAATAGCTTCTACAGATGTGTTTAAACAGCCTGCATACACGGTTATTTTTTATCCCCTTTCTTACTTTGCTGGTTTTCTATTTGACCTTATTTACAAATACATCTTTTGCTTCAATTTTGTTTAACTGGGCAGTGGTATTCATTCCTGAATAGTAGTTTTTATCGTTTGAATGTCACATTTTTGCACAATCTTTTACAATATTTCTATTTGGAAGGTGCCCTTCAGACAACTGTTTGGCTTTCAGTGAGGTACCGCCATCAAGTTCATATATGTAATGTAAATATGCAAACTTAATATTTATTGGATCATGTTTTTTAAATAATTATTACTACCTGGGAGTTGTCTCACTTGTTCATTTCTGCCAAGTCTCCTGAAAATACTACAACACCATTGGTGTATTGCGTTTTTCCTCCCCTCTTTTCATGACACACATTCTAACAATTTTTTTCTCTGTTATAGTTTGAACATGATTTTTTTTGAATGCTTGTCATATTCTTTTGGATAAATAATTTGGGTTGTCCACAAATAACTTGCTTCTTGTGATATAATCCCTCATATTCCCATAAAACATGATGTTATACAGCCCTATTTTGTCAATCATTCTCTGAATAGACACTGTTCAAGTGTCCTTTAAATGGATGATATGCAGTGAGTAGCGTATTTTGAGCCAATTTCTACTATGTTGAAGCAGTTCTCCAGTCCTTTCTTCATTCAGTGTGCGATCATAGGTGTGGATATTCCCAGTACTCTTTAAATTTATTATTGTCTACTAGTGCGGTAGACGAAACATCAGGTATAAAAACCTACAGACCACGGCCAATAATCCCGGAAAATAGCTTTTACTCTTATCTTCGGCCGTGAAAGTTTACATCCTTTGTGTAATTCATTTAGTTTATTGGCCAGTATTGATATTTCTACTTTGTGCTTACCTCTAAATTAATTAATAATAGAGCACGTCTTTTTCGACTTATTTGCACTTGTATTATAAAATCACACTGACGTGGATAATTAATTTTTATAAATATTTTTTGTTTTTTATGATGTAGTTATGAAACCATTTGCTATTAGTGGATTTTTATAGAGTCGTTGAAAAATTGATCAAAAGTTATGTATGAAATGTTTGCAGTATAGTATGTTCCTTATTTATTTGAAGACAATTTTGATGGAACCTATTATAATTTGACCTACTCTATAGTTTGTTTGAAGATAGTTGACAATGTTTCTTGGTGCATTTCATTAGTTTGGACTTCCATTGTCTAATATTATATAAATTGATTTGAAATATGTACCTGAAAGAATCCTTAAAAAATTAAAAAAGATTAGCCGAAAAATAATTATATTGAGCAAAAAAACTGAAATTACAATGAAATAAAATACAATCAACAACAAAAAAAAAGAAGAAAAAAAAATTTAATCTATTAACGCGAGATGAAAATTAAAACATTATTAGGCATACAGAAAATATTTATCAAATCACAAAAAAGCTGTAAATGATAGTAAAATTTCTGCCTTGAAAAACAAATCTAAAACACTATGGAGAATTTTCGATCAAACCAAAAACAAAAACGGACATACAACTGTANAAATGCTACTATTCGTTTAACTGCTGGCTAATTTGAAATTTGTTACGAAAATCATTAATAAAAATAGCTATGTAAATATTGTTTATCATGAATATTTTTGAAAAACTCTTTAATTTATATAATTTTCAACTGTAATTTGTCGATGATGATACATTAATATCTGTTAATTTTTTGCTGTGTCCACTTGTAGATCGTATTGCAATAAAAAAAATTATTATTATCAACAAGAAATGAAAATTAAAAATTAAACGATTCCAAGCCAAGTTACTTCATGACGTTTCGATTGTTAGTATCCACGATCGTCTTCGTGTTTTAACTGGACTTATTCCTCCGAAATCTGACTATTTATAGGTCATTCGAGTACTTTCACCTAACCCCTCTTCCCTCTTTACGCTTCATCGGTATTAGCGGAAGCTGACCGTTTGGCAGGAGTTGTTTGTGTTCCGCTCAATTAGAGGTTTCCATATGTTGCATATCTCTACGCTAGCTTGATTAAATGCGTTGTTGGACAACATACTCATATATGCGGCTTCTTTCAATTTTCTACCAGTGTTCTTCCTTGTGGATGATTTCAGCTTGAGCCCACTTGATGTTATGTTGATGAGTCCAAACGTGCTCTGCTATTCTTGATTTGCTGGTTTCTCCTCGCTGTGTGTGTTTCTTATGCTCGGCAATGAGAAGTTTCAATGGCCTCTTAGTTTCACCGATGTATGATTATCTGTTTTTGTTTTTTTACTTAATATAATTGTATATAATTTACTTGATATAATTTTTCAGCTAATCTCCTTTTTGATTTTTTACAAATTCTTTCAGGTAATTCAAATCAATTTATATCATATTAGACAATGGAAGCTACTCTTATCATTTATTATGAAATCAATGTCAACAAAAATAAATTGCTCCTTGAGCTGAACTTCCTGTAGAAATAATAGTATATGACCTGAAATTTCGTTCAAATTGCTACATACATAATCTGTAACAGAGTTGTGTTATACTAGTTGAAAGGTCAAATTAGGACAATGAGTAAATTTATCAGTGTCTGTGTTGAACTATGCTTAAGCATTTGCGTAAATGATATTGAAGTCCTCCTTAAGAATAATATTGGATTTGAAGGGTGATTCATTGGGCAATAATTCCGGTTGAATAATATTGATATATGTTGTGAGTTATTGATATGTACTTATTATAGAGACTTCAAGTTAGCAAACTACACTTCAATTAGTGAACTATTAGACCAAATTTGCTGAGATAGACTATTTATTAACCAACCTTTCAAAATCATCATCTTTTACATTGACCTTTACATTCCACTGAAGAAATTTCCACGGTAATACTTGCTATTGTTACAAGATTTGGAACACTTGCTCAGTCCTTGTCAAAAATAACTACCAGAATGACATTACATCTATAGATCAAGCTATTTAATAGAATTTCGAAAATAATAAAATAAGCTCTGATCTTGCTCTGAAGCCACCTAATGACAACCGAATACTACAAAATGATTAGAATAAATTATCTCTCTGCTGTGCTTCAAACAATCTTCCATACAATTTAATTTGCCTAATTCCTCGTATAAGGAAAGAAAACTTTTAACATCTAGTCAGTGGGCATACTTGAAGACTGGCTATAAATCACAAATCATCTAAAAGAACTATTCGTTCAGGCCAGTCTCAACTCCCTACAAGGTTAATTCACATGGACCACATAAACTGCAAACAAATTTTAGGAGCTGTATATTTTACTCCTAAATCTCATCCCACTCTATACCAACTTTACTATGAACAACTTATAACACTAAATGAGCAACATCCTGAAGGACAATTTTATTTATTTGGCGATTACAATTTACCTACGGCTACATGGGAGATTGAAGGTTACTGTTCGTCAGCTTTAGCTCAACCTGACTCGTCACTAGCGGAAGAAGGCGCTATTGAAATCATTTCGAATATTAGTGCGTTCAACAATCTTTTCCAGTCTAACAAAGTGCTCAACCAACGGGGCATTATCCTCGACCTTGTTTTGTCCCCAGTTGAACTTACAGTGATGACAACTGTAGACATTTTGATTCCACCTGATATTCATCATACTCCCCTGGAAACTACTATAGAATAAAAGTCCAACTCAATTGCTGCTCCCGATTTCATTACGATTTTCGTCACGCCAATTTCAAAAGTATACGCCAATTTCAAAAGTATACGCCAATTTCAAAAGTATACGCCAATTTTAAAAGTATACGCCAATGTTTGGAATCAATGGAATGGGATTGGCTTCTTCAAGGAAAAGAACTGTCGGAAATGATTTATACTTTTTATGACGCTTTGTATTCGGTAATTGAGTTATTTGTTCCCCTAAAGAAATTTGTTTTTAACAGATTCCCACATTGGCATTCCTTTCAACTTAGAACCTTGGTCAACGATAAAACTGTTGCGCATAGACAAAACAGAACTCCCCAAAACTATGAAATTTTAGTCGGTTGAGATCACAATGCAAGATTATATCTAGAGAATGCTATTTAGATTACATTCATTGGGTTGAAAACTCTGTTAAAAGTAATGTTAAAAGCTTCTGGAATTTTGTTAGTAACACCATACCTAACAATATGAATCTTGGCAACTATTTCGCCTCCTGTGGTAGTGAAGTGTCTGCCAAGAAATTTTCATCAGTTCTCACAACTCAAAATTTAAAACCTAATATGAATGAAATTGGATTTGAATCAAAACTTAACGTCTCCTCTAATCACATTTCAAATGTCAACCATTCTCGAGAAATTATCTAATCTTGACATAAAGAAAGGTCCAGGTCCTGACATTATTCCACCCATTTTACTCAGAAATTGCAGCTTTGTTTTGTCTCACCCTCTCTTCTATATTTTCAATAAAACTATCCAGTCAGGTGTGTTTCCAGATTATTATTGGAAACAATCTTATTTCAATATACAAATCGGGTAGTAAGTCAGACGTTAACAATTACCGACCGATATCTATTCTTAGTACAATTCCCAAGATATTTGAGAACATTCTGGCAGATTACCTTACCTATATAATTGCTCTGACATCATAACTGAACAACAATATGGTTTTTGTGCTGGGGAAATCGACTGAATTAAACCTAGTTACCTGCTCCCACTTCCTGTCCGAATCTTTGGAGAAGGGCTGCCAGATTGATTTTGTGTA